CAGGGCGTTAGCTCCAGACAAGCCAACCTCGAAGACTCCTTGAGATCAATCTGCGTTTCGATGTGTTAACTGCGTTTAACCTCAGCGAACTCGATACTAAAGCCAATACTTCTTCTGATAAACTGTGTAATGTATATTGCGAGGGTTAATCAAAACGTTTAAGGTTACGTATTACACATGAGATGCAGATGAGCAAGCAAGGGAACCACGCACTGTGAGCTATTGTGAATATTGTTCAGTGAGTGCAACTCACAGAACCAAATATCAACAGCTGAACACAGCTCACAAGTCATGATGGGTGGCTATACTTGGACCGTAAGGATGGAACTCGATGTCATTGAAGAGCGATGATTTGCTACGACTACGAATGTGGTTTAAACGAGCAGATGCATTTTGTTGATCGATTGCGAGCTGCCGTTAATGATGACGCTCCTTCAAGAAGCACCGTGTTTGAGTGCTTGTGGAATTCAAGCGTGGCAGGTAGTCCCTGGATGACAGTGTGATCGACTTGTGGGGGCCATCACAGCGGACAACATTGCTACTGTGCAAACGATGGTAGAGGAGGTTTTGTGGGTGACATTGGCACAGCTGGCAAAAGCCATCGGGATCAATCCGCATCATCCTATGTGAGAAGCTCGGCCTCAGAAAGGTTTGCGCCCACTGCTTACCCCATCAGCTCAGTGAGGAACAGAAAACAGTTAGAGTGAAATGGTACCGCACCATGCTTGCCAGGTTTGATGGTGGACGTTCAAATGCAGTTTGGGAGATCATCGACGGTGATGAGATTTGCATGTGCAGTTTCGACCCAGAGGTCACGCAGCAATGGGCTGTGAATGCCGGTTGGTAGGGTGCCACCTCAGAAATTCCGACGCGAGCGCGGTGTGGAGGTGGATGGCAGCTGTATTCATGGCCAAAACAGGTCATGTGGCTACTGTAACGCCCATACAGAAAAGTGCAGTCATCGGAAACTGGTATGTCACGCTTTGCCTGCCAAAGGGGTGCCATAAGCTGTTACCAGGCTTATTCCAAAGACTAGAACACGAGGGACGTTGCTGCACCATGACAACGCACCTGCACACAGGTTCCACAACGTAGAAGACTTTCTGGCTAGAGGACGCATCCAGGAGGTTGATCGCCCACCCTATAGTTCAGACCTGGCGCCGTGTGACTGTTTTATTTTCCCAAATGTCAAGCGAATGAATCGTGGGGTCAGATACGAGTCGCCAACAGCTGCAGCGGTAACCTTTATTGAATTGGTCGTAGGGTTACCCGCTTCGACATGGTCGAGCTGTTTTACCGATTAGTTTGAGCGCGTAGAACTGTGTACGAATGCTGGTGGAGAATATCTGAAGAAAACGTAATGCTTACTTGTGTGACAAATAAACCTTTTTGTGCATTCCTCGAATATATTCTTTTGGGGCCCACTTCTACGACGACGGCTAAGACTGTGATTGCGTCAGGAAGTGCTGTCACGGATTTTGTCCTTGAAATCACCTGCTCAGGTCTTCCATTGATGGTTTTTCCATTTAAATGCGAGATAAAATAATCAATATGTGTGGCCGTGTAACCGGGTCGATTAGACACAGACAGCTAGCTCGGCTAGGGTATCCTTAATACACCGTGTGAACGAATTCTCTGGGCTATACGATTCGATATAGGGTTGTAATGATTTGTGGTCTTTGTAAACCTCAAGTCTTGGGCTTTGGTCCAGAATCCCAGTAAATCTCGTCAAATTTGGCTCAGAGAACCCCGTACTTCTTAACACAAGCTATTCACGGATCGGTTTCTGTTCTACAAAACACGAATTTATCACAATATTTGTTCAGAGGGTTTCCACTGTGCCGAATTTAACAACCGGGTCAAAAACTGCCGGGTGCATTGCCACTGTTCTGTCTGATTACATACTATCCTTTTGCTTTATGGGACTAACGTATCACGGTACATTTTATCGGCCTTTTAGAATTACATCAGTCTGTTTTGGTTCCAGTCGTCTCGATGACGCTCGCACTCTAGTTTCAATTGATGAAATTATTCATTCGTTTACTCTTAACTTTATGTTCAGTGTCGTATGCACAAAAGACGGGTGGATATGCTGACACGGGTGCTGAAACCGTTAAGTCGACAGCACTATCAACATGTGTGTCGCCAACTTCTTTTCGAATTGGCTGAGGCGTTGTCCACTCTCCGGGATTTGAAACAGGAGGCACACGATGAGGTAGATCCACTTGCAGTAGTTAATATCTCGAATGATTCATTCATTTGCTTTCTTCTCACTGATCTTTTTTGATCATGCGGAAGTCTCTTTTTCAATATCACACCTCATATGCATTACTACTCAGTCACACTAAAGATGCTTGCACTTGATCAAAGCTTTGCCAATGTACGTTGTTCCTGCATAATTGAACCCGACTGGCAGGTTTCTTTATTCACCTTACATGCGGTGTGGTTTCCGACGGAGTCAGGTCTAAAAATCTTGATCGATGTCTGTTACAGGAATTGTTTCCTTTCTTGCTCATGGCCGTTAATCTTCCACTCTGAGGCGCCTGTTTTGTTTTTTATGACGTTGTGTCAAATTGATGATGCTAAAGAAAGACTGGTTGCGCTACAATCCACTTTCACTGACCAAGTGGTAATTTTGGACGAATTGAATCTCTTCTGTCGAATCAAGTATGCCAACTTCTGTGCTGATGCTGTTCGGAAAACAAGATTTTGTACTATAACAAAGCTCCAGAAATCCCTACTTCACAAACTAGCCACTAATTCATTCCCGAAAGAACCGGAGAAATTTGTTAAGAATCTGTCATCTGTCGAGCTAAATCAGCTTCAACTCCAATCACTTTCGTGTGGCCTTCGCTTTTGTGTTGCGCCTAAGAAAATTAACAGCATTGAATCGCAGGCACGGTTTGAATATTTTTTCGAACAATTGAAAATGTTTAAAGCAACCTCAAAAGATGTAGAGTCGTCGATAAAAGCGAAACTGGTTGACTTGGAGCATCAATACCGAATAACACCATCGAGACAAGAGTCACTTCTCACTCCCAAGCATTTATCCGCTTTAAAGGAATTAAAGGACAAGTCCGATTTGGTCATTTTAAACCCTGATAAAGGTTCTGGGGTTGTCCTGATGGACCGTGCAGATTATCAACGAAAGATGGAATGTGTCGTCAATGACCCCAGCAAGTTCTTACGAGAAAAAGCATGTGATG